CGCGCACGGTTACACCGATAATTGTTGAATGACGGGTTGCTGTATTATAGCACTGATTCGACGGATATACCACAAATTGTGGCTCCTTACGATGAGGATTTAACATACCGTATCCTCTATGAGACTTCTGACACTCTACTAGCGGTCATCTCGGTCGTGAAGAGGCGTTCAGCTCTGTGAGTTGCCACTACGGGTGGCCAAGCTGTACAAATGGACGAGCACATATGTGAGCACATGTGAGACGTGTCAGTGGGAGAAACCCTCTTCGAATGCGGCGGCGCTGCTGACCAGTTTACCGGTACCCTCCGGGTGTTGGTAGTTCATGAGTATGGTCTTTGTGCTTGGCCTGCCGAAGGAATCAGCGGACAACACGGGTGTGGTGGTCTTTGTGGGCCGTTTGAGCAACATAGCTCATCTCGCAGCAGGGCCGGACACTATCGACGGTGTGGGTACAGTGACGCTGTTTGTCGTCGACAATATGGACTCCTGCGGTCAGTTGTCTCTAACAGAGTCCCACGCTTCACTAGGAAGTTCCGATATACAATCTGCTGGGCACCAAGTTGACTACGTCAACAGAGGACCATCCGCAGACCGATGGTCATACTGAGTGCGTGAATCGCGTCGTTGAAGACGTTCCACAGAGCGTCTGCGCTGAGACGCAAAAGCGCTGGAGCGCCATGCTGCCAATAGTAGCGATTGCGCAGAGCAATGCAGTGCTTTCATCTACCGGCTACATGCCGTTCTACGTGAACGGGCTTCGCGCCCCGCTGATACCGCCATCCCATGGCTCAGGGCTTGTGGGAGGAGGAATAGCCGAACGGCTAGCTGATGTTAGCCATTTCACTGTCCGTGAAGAAGTCGATGAACACCTGACTACCCGAATGAGTGACCTACGTCACGTTCGCGATGCGATGACTGAAAACTAAGACATGCAGAAAAAATATGCCAATGATAGAAGCAGAATAAATGTGGAAAACTTTGAGGTCGGAGACCTGCTTCTATTAAATGCTAAAAACCTTCCTACACATGCAGTCTCAGCTGTCTTTAAGACAAAGCTCCGTCCACGGTTTATAGGACTATTTATGGTCGTGGCCAAGCGAGGCCTCGCGCTATACGCTGAACCTTCCGAGAAGGATGCGCACCCACTCGGTGATTTTTGTGGGCTTGCATAAGCCGTACCGGGATTTGGCGCAAGTGCCGGGGCGACGCCCAAAGGCGCTCGGCCACTCATAAGCTAAACTTGCTTCACCGTCACACGAAATGACGTATTTGTCTGCTCGACGGCTAGGAGCCGCTCCGACAGAGCGCGGAAACTCCCAACGTGAGGCAGTCGGTGCACAAAATCCTCTAGGCTATCGAGGCCTTCCGCACAACGAAAGGCGACCGTGATGGGATGCTCGGCGGAGTGCCGATGACGACGAACTTCGTCCTCCAACGCTCGAAGAGTATCGCGAGTTACCGGACGGCCCATCATCGTCCCCCGACGACTCTTCTCGATGAGAATGATGCTGGCCACTATCACGAGGAGCGCCTTGTGGGTCGACATCGTCAACAGGGTCGAGCCCAATATCTTGTTAAATGACGGGGACACTCCGACTCCGAGAACTTCAACAGGGTCGAGCCCAATATCTTGTTAAATGGCGGGGACACTCCGACTCCGAGAACTCGTGGGAGTTTGAGGTGCCACTTCGGCAAGACTGCCCAGACTTCGTAGACGCTTATGATCAAAAGGATCATGACGCTTCGCGTCGTAGCGCGCCCCGCGCTTCTCGGCATTAGCCGAGGGCCATGAACTGAGCTCAAGCTATGGCCCTGATCTGCTGTGGTCGTAGACTTCCCCGTTTGGGAAATCACAGAGGTCGCAGGATCGTTATGGATGTCACAGGGCGACAATATGCAGGAAGTCGGCGTAACGCCTTGAGTTTGACAACCTCAAATCTAAGATGGCGCTCAACGCTCTCGTTCACTTCCTTGTGGCTTCGCAGTAAGGTAGACTGTGAAGGCAGTTTCCGGTGCCGCTGCACCCGTCGCTCAAAGAGCATATCATCATCTACAGCGGTTTCGCCAGGGGTGAGCACCACAGGGATAGTCCGCATTGCGGGAACAGGAGTACCTCTTTCTTAAGCACGAAGTCGAGCGCGATACCGATCAATTGCGATCTCTTGGGGTATAAAAAAGCGATCTCGCAGAATTTTGCTGATCAGGCTCAGCCTAAGTAGTGGCCGGAGGTCCGACTACGTTGACGCCTAACGATCGAATGAGTGCCTCTTTCGCTGCAGTTACGGGATTCGCCAAGCGGAAGCCGTATTCCTCACGAGGGTCTAAGACCGAACGTGGATACGAGCGCAGGAAAGCCGCCATATGAGCAGCCTCCAATTGCTGCTTCTGTGCCTCGTCGAGGCGATAGGTAATAGTACCACTATCCTTGGAAGCCGAGAGGTCGGATAAACGGTCATGGTGTCCGCAGGGTTTAAGCTGGGTCCACGTCGCGCTGTTGGCGCACTTCATTTTCCTCGTCATCCAACGCTGGGAAAGGAGTGTCCAAATCATAGTCGACTTTCTCCAGCTCCTCGACGAAGAAATCTGTCGCCCGGGGCGGGCGTGGTGTGTTGCGCCCAGTTGCCGAGGGCTTGGAATGTGCTTCCAGCAAAGCCGCGGACGTACTTTCCGGAGATGCACAGAAGAAGAAGGGCTTTGCCCGCAGGCGGCTTCGCCACCAGCAAGGCTGGATGTTTTGTGTGTCGTAGACATAGTGCTCATAGAGCGGAGAAGGTTCGACGTTTTCTTATCAACGTGAAGGTGTCTCAGACACGCGAGCCTCATATGAGGTGACCATTAAATGTGAATTAGGGATATTCACACTTTTTATGGGGGAGAGTGTCACGGGGTTATGCATGCCCTTGTGAGAAAGGGTACACACCTATGTACGATCGCACAAGATTGTGCGACCGTACACATGTGTGTATTCATAGTTAGCGTAATAACACAGTAATGTGGCTACACCGTAATAAGAAGCCACCACGTGGCAGGATCGCCAGATGTAATGCATACTACTATATTAATCACGATTTGCTATATCAATTAGGTATTACTATACTAATTAGGAAAACCTTGAGTTTTAGATATTGGCGGCTCTGCCGCAACTAAAACAACTAAATACTGTTTCTTTTTTGAGCCGAAGAATTCGTTTGCCTTGGTAAGGCTTTAGTACTTTGAAGCGATCCGCTACACTTGTACTGGCTCTTTGAAAGAACGTATGGTTGGTGAACTTGGCTGTGCTTCGTCTAAGCAAAGAGCTACGACAGCCTCGCTGCAAGTATGCTCACGCTGTAGAAGAATTTGGACTCTTTTTGTTGTTTAAACCAATTTTCAACATTCTTATCTGTCCTCGTCTCAAGATCACTGTTATAGTATTTGTGTATGGATTTTGCAATACCCCCGCATACTGTCAGTTTCTGTTGACATTCGCGCGTCGTATGTAATTGCACGGCGCTCCAGGATTATTCAGCACTTTTTACGGCGTCACGAAGATCAAGATGCCGATATCAGCAACTACCATCCATTGAATGCGAGCCCACATTTCCTAGATAAAGTCACTCGTTTTAGAACTGGGTCTCATTGACAACGATATGTACTTAAACTCATTCCGTTACCAGGAGGTCATTCTACGCCTGCCGGGACTACGTTCTTTCACGTGAGATTATCGTTCGCCCTTGCGCTGAGGCTCGATTCTGCATATCTCTCTCTCAGCCGAATCAAGAAAAGGTACTGAAGGCGCAGATACTCTGTACTCAAAAACAGATAAGACAATTGCGAGTACCGCGGAGCTGCTAACTAGCTCTTTTTCTCGGCATGGATGCGGTCCGTTGCCTCAAACATGCACATTTGTCCTCCCTTCCAGTGCTCGGTTCGGCCCACGCGGTACGGAAGTTGTACTGTGCATTATAGCGACACCCACTTCTTCATCGAAAGGGTTTGTTGGACGCCGAAAGTCTCAATGTAAGTCACACATATTCAGAATCCCCTATGATGATGATCAAATATTTCTCACCAGGATGAGTTTAACGACATTGCGGCGATATAATTATTAACGCTTGTACGTAATTCGCTAGCTCTCGCCTCCCTTGGCGGTTGACAAAAAGATGCAGCCTTACTGTCGAGAAATGGAGTCGACCGATTGACTGCACATCTTGACGAAATATCCCCGTACTGCAGAGAGCAGGTCAGTCTAATTAATTACTATTACTAATAAGCAGATTTTGATCAGAATAATTTAAACATTTTTTTACTTGCTAAAGCATGCCCAATTTTATTTTTAACTTTAAAGTTGCTCAAATTGCTTTACCGACAAGAGCCACGATGTTCGTCTTCCTTCCGTCCCAGTACTGGAAAGTCGGATTGAACCGCAACGGCATTCGGAAAGATTGTAAAAAGTGTCCAACGAATGATTATAGAGTTGATAATCGGCCGTATGCCAGCTAAAATATGCTAGGTCCAAGATAGAGACTTCATTCCGATGTTGGAAAACTATCGCAATCGTTTTTATTAATGATTGAAAGAAGATTACTTTCAAAATGTTTAGCTGTGTAAAGTTTGCCAACTGGACATCGCTGAAATGCCCGACTGACGAATGTCGTGAAAGCAGATTCTGAAATCATTGCAGCATTGTGAGGGAAATGGGTAGACGTTTTTAATTGACCCATTTTGTGAGTTTTTAAGGAATAAATAGGACTATTAAAACAGCATTTCTACTCTGACGTGACCACCATATCAAAAATATAGCAGTACTTGCAATTTTCCATCGGATTTAACAAATAGTAATACTACTAGTGCTGTAACGTTGTTGGAAAATATTCCTATTTGCTTGAATTATACAAGGCACTAACATGTAATTAATGTCATATTTTCCGACGACGGATCCAAATTTACCGATCTTCCCGTTTAAATCGATTCTCTCGTCTCCAATGATTAGCTCAATTTGCAAATTAGGATTTACCGCCATGGCGTCGGACGAGATGGAGAAAAAACTCGATATGTCATTAGATCAGATCGTGCAGGAGCGTAAGACGATCGCGACTAGTAATACCAACGTAAATGTAGGCAAAGCAAAGAGCACGTGAGTGGAAGGGTATCGTAGCTCTGTAGGCAGCGAATGAGTGAGCTGACGGATGCTGCACTGTTGCGTAGGAAACGCGCTGAGCGGATAGCGCAGTCGAGTCCGTATCAATCCCGACATGGCCATAACGGTATGAACAAGCTGAGGGCGTACGGTGAGGCGAAGGATTGAGAGAGTGTTGGGTATTGTAGGGGAAGATGAAGACGTGGAGATGAATCAAACGGTACCTGTGGGTTGTCGTGTCTACGTGGGTAATTTATCCTGGAGCATTAAGTCGCAAGACTTAAAGGAACATATGCAAGTGGCCGGCCCTGTAGAGACTGCTACGGTGCTGGAGTGGAATGGGCGTTCAAAGGTGCGATGGAGAGGCTGATGCGGTGTGAAATGGCAGTATTAAGGCTATGCTGTGGCGGTAGGGATGCGGTATCATCACATATGCAACAGAAGAGGCAGCTCAGGAAGCCATTAGCACGCTCAACGACACAGAGCTCGGGGGGCGCAAAATTTTTGTTCGTGAAGATCGTGAGTCGCAGTTCGTTGCGGCTGGTAAGCCCAAGCGCGGATTTCGTGTGTATGTTGGCAATTTGTCGTGGACTGTCAAGTGGCAGGAGCTCAAGGACCATATGAAGAAGGCAGGCACAGTTGTTCATGCTGATGGTACGACTATATTGAGTTCTTGGATGATAGAGAAAGAAGCTCATAGCTTTGTGCCTAATTGTAGTGCTAGAACTGGCAAATGGGCGCTCAAAAGGCTGTGGTTTAGTAGAATATTCCACGCCAGAAGAGGCTGCGACAGCAATCGCGGAATTAAATAACACCGAGTTAGATGGTCGACTCATTTTCGTTCGCGAAGATAGAGAACCTGAGGGTGGAAGCATTTCCAAGTTTGCCAAACGCTCCAATGCTCCCTCGCGTGGAAACGGTGAAGGTCGCCAGCTTTACGTTGGGAACGTAAGTCTCTAGAAAATGGTCGATTTAACAAATTTCCTTACTCACCTGAATACGTTTGGCACATACAGCTGCCATGGGACACGAACTGGCAGCAGCTTAAAGATTTGTTTCGAACTGTGGGTGAAGTAGAGCGTGCTGACATTGCTGAATACCCTGATGGACGCTCGCGCGGCTTTGGAATCATTCGATACACGACTGCCGCTGACGCATGGCAAGCTATTGGTCAGTGATTGCTGGTTGTCATGTCATGTTCCAACGAATTTAACCTCTTGCACACTATGCAGAACGCATGAATGGAATGGAAGTCGAAGGCCGCCAGATTGAGGTTCGCCTGGACAAGAAGGAGTAAAATCAGGCATGCTGTCTGGCATCACGATCAATAGGATTCTAGCAGATTGTGCAAAAGTTGTTACTGAGGTGATATTATAACTTGAATCTTAGTCATCTTCGTCTATTGAACCTCTGTCAACGTTGATCACACACTTATCACACATTCAAGCATGTTGACAGAGGCCTACTCAAAAAGTTCTAATATGGCCTCATTTGTTTAACATAGAGGTGATGGTTGATCGGAGTGTATCGATTTTTTTTTTAACCTCCAGTAACTTCGCATCATTTTGCTCTTGGCATGAGGTGATCTTGACTAAATTGCTTGCAGCTACTTCCAAAGGCTGGCATAAATTGCTGGATGCCGCACAAATACACGAAATTATTCAACAAAACAAGTACACTAAAAAATGTCATCCTTACGCTAATATTTCCAGTGCAGCCGATCCCAAAGTATCTGAATAATGCAATCGTTAGTCAATGAACCTGTACTCACTGGTATTTGTATCGTACCGTTGGCCACCGCCGAAGGCCGCACAATATCTTCCGCGTCTAGAGTATTAATGTCAGCTACACTTTCTTTCATTAATCCGTATCCGCTAACAAAAGTACTCAATGACGCATCCACCGGCATTTGCTGCTGGGCTCCAGCTGAGGCAATATAATCATTTGGCTTCACGTTCAATAGGACATCAGTATTTAAGTTCGACCCGGCATTATATCCCATCGTAAATACACTGAGGGAAGATGAAGTCGACTCATCTAGAATTTCGTTCTTGTTAACGATGTGAGGTGAACCTAGCGCTACAAATCCACTGGTAAAGGAGCTCAGTGATGCATCCACTTTTTCGCAGTATATGCCGTTCGATTGGTTTCTTGCTTCATCAAACTCTTTTCCAAATTTTTTCTTTTGTTGGTCGTCATGTACGCCCAGTGAAGCAACTATCTTTCCGTCTTCTGGAAGCAGCTTAGCTGATTCTTCAATACTGCGTTCAGCTTGAGCTACCACATCACCAATGACGCTATGGACCCCTTTATTTGCGCCAGTGTCTTCACACATTATTACTTTCTTGGCTTGCAGGTCAGTCGTGAGAATCTCCATAGTTTCATGAGTTAGTATTTGATTGACGTCACTGATATAGGGGGTTACCCTTACTTGATGAGATGTATTTTCATTAGTGCATCCAGTGGTAGTAAGCAGTTCCGTTTGAGATACAGAGGAATCCATCATTGGAATTGATTGACAAATATTTTGTGGTGAGGGTGCTGGAAGTTTTGATTGGACTTGAATAGCCACTTTTGAAGGTGACTTCAGAAAACCGAGCTGACTCAGCCTCGTATTCATAGTTGCAACCGCGTTTGCGGTGTTAAGCTGTCTCTTGCGTTTCATCAAGTGCTCACGTTCTAAAGCTAAGGAGGTTGATGTTGGTGTGCTTGTATCGACCATCTTTAGCGATAGACTCGTTAATTCATCCTTGCCCGCCAGAATATTTTTACTAGGTGTTTTTGGCGATCCGTTATCTGCTTTTTGTTCTCCATTGTTGACCTGCTCAGTATCCAAACTATTCACTTGATTTTTTAAGACAGCATCTTCGTTCAATGTCATTAAATTCATTTCTTCTTTTGAATACGACAAAGTAGCCACTTTACCAGAATCTTCTTCCGGCGTCAACAAAGTCGCTTCATCACTCAGTTGCGAAAAGTTAGTTTCAATAACATGTATAGTTGGCTTCGCTGTCGCCCTTGTCCGCATCCATTTTTCCAAAGGAATAGCTGCCAGGGGTCCAGGCACAGCGACCCTGCTCCCTTTCCACTTCGAAGATTTTTTTAAAGCGATTTTAACTGCTGCTAGATCCGCTTCGGCCGGTTGAAAGACCTTACTCCTGTCAAAACTCATCGTTGAAAATGCAGTCCTTTCCATTCCACCACACTTCTGACCGGAATGTGTTGTAACCGGGGGTGCTGGAGGTGGCAGTGGCGCTTCCTGGAATTTGGATTTCATGACGTGCGAAGGTGTTTGAATATCAAGTTTGGTTTCCGTCACTCGTGGCAATCTTACCTTGATTTTAGTCTGGATGTCGTCAGCGAGTCTCCACACAAATATACAGCTATCACTACTAGCCGAAAGTAAGCGCCGACAATCAGGTGTAAATTTCAGTGCCGTTATTGCGTCACCATGACCTGAAGCAGTAGCTAGCATGTCTCCCGTCTCCAACTCAATTACGTGAATGTTATTGTTGGTATTAGAGCCACTAATTGCAACGCAATGGCCAGCGGGGCAAAGAGCAAGGTGACCTTGTTCTCCTACCGGAAGCGCCCGCTGTTGATTCCCAGTTCTGATATTCAAGAATTCAAGTTTGTTGTTGCAAGATACGACAGCTGTATCACGATCAGGCAGAAAAACCGTACCAAATATTTTGCCACTACTACTGAAGAGCACTTTAGAGCTGGTTACTTTCCCTCTTGCATCAAGATCACTTTGAACAACAGAATTGTCAGCTCCACTACTTAAAAGAATCTTTCCCTCACGGGATATTGACAAGTTGGTTATAGCAGCTGAGTGAGGCTCAATTGTATTTATCAAGACATGGCCCTTTTGGCAATCGTATAGCTGAATTAATTGGTCTTGTCCCCCAGATGTCATAAAAAATGGACAATTATCTTCATAGCTGCTGTAAGCAAGACAATTTACATTCGAGCTGTGAGCTTTTATTCGAGTAGCAGATTTCGCGGGATGCATTGGCACCACAACAATATTTCCATTCTGGTCACCAGCAGCAATTTCTTTCTGATCAGGACGAACAGCTACTGTTCGAAGCCCTTTATTCCAACTATGGGGTGAGTTTACAGGATTTTTGGACTCATGAGAGCATGTGCCTCCCAGAACGACGCACTTTGCGTCTGCAAAATCGCTCTCGATGTCATTGTATATTACTCGAAGCATTTCTTGGCTATGCGGACTTTTCCAATGCTCAAGCCCCGACCGTCCAGCAGCGCTAAGCTCGAACCTGCTCGACTTCGCTGGGCGTCGATGTAATTCCAAATTCCAAAGGCGAATAGTATTATCATCTGCGCAAGTCACGAATGTCCCGGTTGGAATAGTGTCCGTAGACACACCACCTTGTGAGTCGACCTCAGTATAAACCACTTTACCTTTTGCATCGATGCCACGAACATGACCAGCAACTTGCAAGTCTCGAATTCCTCCACTATGATATAGAAATGAACGTTCGACAGTAAGGTTGTCTATTGTTGCCGTACCATATATAAAAATGCTTCGATCGCTGTAGATTACAATCACATGGGAGCCTGTGATTCGAGTAGCAATCGCGGCTGCGTACCGAGATGGATCAGCTGGATACAAAACACTTGGTGACGCCGAGACAGGTTTAAATGGGTCATTGGCAGCCCCAAAGGCTGGAGGAAAGGGCAGCGTAGCACAATACTCGAGTGTTGAAGGACTGAATAGCCTCACAACGCCACTTGACCCACCCACCGCCACATATGCTTCTGTGACTGAAATGGCATTTCCACACTTCGATTCCACAGAAACCAATCGTTCCATAATACCAGAAGCGCCAAAGCAACACAATGTTCCATCCAATGTAGATGCAAATGTTTTAAGTTCACAACTTCCATAGCCACACCCAACTCCAGTAAATGTTGCTGATGTCTTTGCATTCAGAACAGCGTCACGATGTTGCAGCTCAGGCAAGTCATTCAAACGAAGCCCAGTCAGTAGAAATGATCCTTTGTCGTCTAGAAACCAGTACTACATGCCAGAATTTGACGTCAAATCGCGCTAAAAAATAGTCTTTTGGTGAGTTCAATTTACCTTAAAATGTTTCTTTCCAACTGTTACAAAAAAATTTCCGGCTTGGCAGTAGTCAGCGTCCAAAATTTTGTCTTCAACAAAAGCACAGCCTACGATAGTGACATCAAGCCGCCGCACCGCATCCTTGTGTTTGCCTATAAGCTCCCATGCATACAGATGCTTGTCGTGATCTAGGCCTGCGGATATCAAGAAGCGTCCGTCGTGGCTGAAGGCCATGCATCCCACACCATATTGGTGTCGCTGTAATTCAGCGCATAGCGTGCCATCTGTGCCGTCCCAAATAGTTATAGCTGGTCGATAGCCTTTTTCGCCAATAGCAAGATAGTGACCGCTGGGCGAAAAGCACAGGCACGATACAAATTTGTCCACGCGGTAGTAACGCACCTGCTTGTCGCGCCGGAGGTTATAAATCACTACAATGCAGCCCGCAGCGTACGCCAGCTCTCCCGACGCAGGATTCACAGCAACCTGCGCATTGCTCAATGCTGTTAGACCCAAAACTCGCTCTAAGATTAGTCGTGAGCGTGGTGATTTCGACACGATATCATTCATGACGGGAGCTTGACAGTCGCGTCGTTTCGCGGTTGCGATCGAGGATTGGCTTATTTAAAATGGTCTAGTCATTCATCCGAGAAAAAGGTCACTAAAGTGCCCATCTCAGCAATAATCATATTCTGTGCTTAACCAGCATGATGCTGTACAAGAAGGTCATGCACCATGCCTGGCTGCCATATCATCGACTGCGGCGCGGCTCCGTCTTAATTGTTGCTGCTGTGCTGTTGCTTTTTTTTCTGTCGTTTTCATTGCTTTCATGGAAAACACTGGACCCACCTCATGTCGCAACGAAATCGACTGACATCGTCCTACCTCGCCCTGTGGACAACCCGACGACTGTGGCGAAGGATGAAGGCGTCGACATTGATGTTGACTTGAAATTTGAAGATAACAAAGAGATGAAAGAGAAAGAGGTGTTGACTTCACCTGAGACTAGAACGCAGGCTCCATTTGTGCTGCGGCTGCTGCTGCCATTGATCGCCGGTTTCTGTTTTGGCTTCTTGGGCTCTGTACCTGTTGCTGGTCCAACGTCCGCCATGGTGCTTAAGCTTGGCATACAGGGAAAGTACAGAGCTGGTCTAACTATTGCAGTTGGCGGAGCAATCTCTGAGGCGGTACGGGAGAAACAAAAAGGATAAGAGGTTGCATGCTGACAAATGACTTGTCTTACGTTGACAGACTTACGCAGGCATTGCATTTTGGGGATTTGGTAGCTTTCTAGCCGGTGCTAAATTTTTGCTTCCGACATCCAAGTACGTGAATTGGGAGTAGAAGTTGATGAAGGCGGGGTCTTATGTATTTGTTTGTGTCTTGTGGCAGAGTGCTGGGGGCAATCATGTTTACGCTGATTGGATTAATTTTTCTGAAGGCAGATATGAAGCCATCTTTGGACCCTGACGTCGAAGCCTCCCATGGTAAGGGTGTGCGACGACCACAAGGCGAAGTGTTGAGAAATATTCTGGTGGGTTTAACGATGTCGGGAATCAATCCAGCTCTGCTTGCATCATACACTGGAGCCATTGCCTCTGGTATGTACTTAAAGTTGCTTGAGCAATCATTAACCATCACTTCAAATATGCTAATTCATTCGTGACGCTCATGTAAAGTGTATGGCACTGGCATGCTGGAGTTTACTCTATTCCTCGCCTTTGTTTTCGCAATCGGAGTTTGCAGTGGCGTTTCAACCTGGTTTTACTTGCTGCTGTTTTTGTTGAAGAAATACAAACAGGTGCTTGCTCGCGTTGTATGGATGAGATGCTTTTAACTGACTGTCATTGCTTTTGAATAGCGTCTGCAATCTCACACTATCGATTTGATTATGCGTGGTCTCGGATGTTTTTTGCTTACTCTTGGCCTGCTGTGTGCAAAGTCATCGCTTGATTACTTCTTGTTGGCACCACCAAACGCCTAAGTGGCAAGCTAAAATTGTTCATCGATTGTAGACTGCAGACAGCATATTATTTCAAAGATAACATAAATTTACGACATAACAATCATCTTGTGTAAAATTAAAATTCAGATCAACTCGCAGCTTCTATTCGATTCGAAACTTAGATTTTAGGGTCGTCAGCATCTCAAGGCATCGCTGAGAAGATTCGGCATCAGTTTCCATTAACTTGAACAATTCTTTCAACTTTTCTGTCTGACGACTGTCGAAAAAGTCTAAAATCAGTGATAAGCGAATAGTTTGGGACAATGCTTCCATGATCGACAGAGCAAACAGAGTTGTAACTTGTGCCTTGATGCCCGTGTTGGGCGAGTTTTGATGCCATGAGGTTAAAAGTACTTCAACAATTTCCGCCACTAAATCCGAATCGATATCTGCCTTAAAAATCTCACCAAGTCTGACCGGAGTGGTTACTTGAAGATATCTAAGCACATGTAATGTCAGAATTTAGTACAAAAAGCGGGTCAATTATTTAATTTACCTGAGTTTCGCTTCAAACGTTTTAAGATATCGCTTCCAATTGCGGCAGAAATCAACCGCACATGCTGGTGGTAAATCTAGGCGTGGAGCTGCAGGTTGAGAGCGTTGCTCGTTACTATATGTCTTTCGCACCATTTTCTTCTTCCTCAAGTTTTGTCCTTTGGCTCTTGAAAAAACACTCAGCTCCTTTTGCGAAACAGGTTTCAGATTTGCACACGCTACAAGATTCTGTTCATATCCCATTCAGTTTCCGAAAATTTTGGTACTAGCGTCGAAGAATTAGAATAACCTTAAAGTCGTCATAGTTAGCAGCAGTATGGATAGCACGCTTTTTCATGCTATCCGTTAATTTGTATACTCGGTCATCCTCGAGAGCTTGTGCCAATTCTAACTGCAAAGCTGCCGTATCAAAGATACCACACTCGATGGACGTGAGTGACTTCTGCGCCATACCTGTCGCGACGCTATCGAGATATATTAATGTGCCCCACACACGAATGCACGAATAGACACATTACAGCATCTTATGACAAGCTAAAACCAATCAAGCTTAAGGTAAGTGTTATATATATATATCGACATGCAAGTTGGGAATTGATAGGATCGAACAATATTTTTTGCAATGGACCGCGGACGCAAAGCTATCCCCACACTGAATAAACATACGGACTCCAAGTACTATCAGAGGTGCCAAGAGATTCACCGATCTAAGCTATATACCATTAAAAGTTCTATCGATAATGGCGAACCTCATCGCCCGACCCATCTGCGCAAAAATATGAAGAAGGAACAGATGAAGGAGGATCGCTACGCTGAGATCGAGCGGGAGAATCGCATTTTGCTTGAAAAAATGACGATGATCATGCAAGGAGAGAAGCTTGACAACAAAAATCAGTCGGTCGCGTATGCTCACAGTCTTAACAAGGGCCGACGAAAGCGTGAGCTTCAGAGAATCACGACCGAAAATCAAGCTATTTTACGTCGTATTCAGATGCGAGAGCCCACATACGATCATGTACAATGGGAGGAAGATGCAAAGAAAAACGAACGATACGCTGCGAACATACGCGAGTTTCCACCAAGTGACAGTCTCGAGCAGCTTGCTGAAATGCGGACAATGTCAGCTTACTCGATGGGTGGAACAGGCAAAGACTACTATTAAGCAGAGTTCCTTAATATATAATTCTTAAACTAGTAAACTTGCACGTTTTTACAAAAGCTCAACAATAGCTCGCATGATTGTCGAGATTTTGCATGTCGCCTTGCTCTCTCCAAACACAGCCAGCAGCTTGTCTCCCCAATTTTCCATGGACTCAAACTCAAGTTCAACTTCAATAAGTTGAGTTCGTACCTCCGCGAGAAAGCGTTGCAAAATATCCCGGGCCTTGCCGTCACGTAATTCTGATGGAGCCGAACCTGATGGACTTTTGTTTATAAATGACTGGATGGGTCGAATACCAGCCACGAAGCGATTAAGCTGCAGTTGCAAATCCACTAACTCCACGCACATTGCTTTTTCAAGATCACCTCGAAACGAATTCAACTTTTCGTCCACTTCGGAAAGGAATGTCGATTGAAACATCGATTTATTATCTTCGAAGATCGAGAACGAAATGAGGCTCTGCTTTTTAAAAAACTGATCTCACAGTAAATGGCATGTCCTTTACGTATAAAAGCATAAAATACAGTAACGTACCCGTTCCAGCGCCTGGATAAGCGAATAATTTTCTACAAGATCCCGACAAGCTCGCTTTACGACAAGAATTCGAGTTAACAAGGTTGTGCGCACACGATCAAATTCGATCTTGTATAAAAACATGTCGATGCGTTCCTGCATTCCAGAAATCTGAAACAACAAGCAAAAAAAGCGCTCTGCTTTGCCAAGGGTATTCACCGATCCTTGGAAATTCTGCAGAGCATGCTTCTCTTTTTCAGTCGGGAAAAATCGTTGAAGGCATCCCAACAATGCTGCATTCACTACACGTTCATCCATTGTTACGATGTCATCTACGATCTGCTCGTAGTGATCATGTATTTTAAAACTTGTAAGCGCGAGTGCAAGGTTGTTTGCACGTTTTGGCTCGATTATCTGAATATTCTTGGACCGACCTCGTGGAGAAGATGCTCGTGACTGCACCGACGTAAAAACTGTCAGCCATTACTTGCAAAATAGGCATGATAGCGTCAAAAGTTACCTTTTCAAAAGAGCTGCTAACATTATCATCGTTGGCTTCTTCCAGAAATTTCTTGGTTGGGCTTATTGAACGAGGTGATGGGACTAGCACAGGTCGAGATACTTTAAAAAGAATGTTAAACATAAGACCCTCTAAGAGCGGTAAGATGAGCACATACCATCTTGGGCTACAGGGGCCGCTACATCTACCGAAATCTTCAAACCTGTTCGAGCCTCATACTTTGACGGCTCGGAAAGCGACATTTCCTGTTGTCTTTGCGTAATGATTGCCTCAGTATTGACAGGAGTAACCTGCGTCTCTCTATCTGATGAAAGCAGTTCTACAGGATATATGGTTGCTTGCCTACCCTCCTCATCGGCTTGTCCTTTGTAGCCTCTTACTTCAGTGAGGTGTATTGCAGCTGGTAGCGATTTTTCTACGGCGGGTGTTTCTCGGTAAGCTGTCAAGGAGCTGTCAAGGGACAGAGGAGCTGGCTGAGAATTTCGCTTTCGAGCTTCCGCTAAACGTAGCCGTATGATTGCATCTGGAGCGAATGTGTCTACTCCTGTATTCAAAAGCGTTTCTCGGGACACGTAGCCACCTTGAGTGTTATCTTCAAAAGGATTTTCCCATTGCGATACACTAGTAAATTTATTCACATAGTACGGGTAACCGTCTTCAGTGTAAAGTGTGTCCCAATGCGAATCTTCCTGTGAATGCGGAATATGCTGACGAAATGAGATCATGCTCTTATGAACACCAGGCATCGGTGTACTCAGCGAACAGTAAGCTTGCGATGGCTGCGCACATTCTAAAACTCCTGTTTGCGTGCTATACTGAGATAAGCGACTATTTTCCCGATAATAACTCCAGGGCTCATAGTGCTGATCACTTTGAACTACGTTTTGTTTGTAGGGTTGAGAATGATTGCGTGGAGACTGTTCTACGCATTGCTCGTTGTACGAGGAATGAGCACCATCAGACCACGACTGCGATAGTCTTCTTGGTGTTAACAAGCCTGCATGACTTTTCCTCCTTAAAGCATCTCGAACACGCTCACTAGGAGATAATGGCAGCTGACTTGTAAAATTTTCATGCGAAGCAACATCAAACGATCGATGCATTGCTGATCGTATCTCATGTTCGTATTTTACCCCTTTGTGTTGTACTGCAGTTTCAGTATGAGCGCATGTTGGTGATCGCTTGAGCAGCGTTGATGCCGATTCGTTGCGAGTGGCAGAAGCGCAATGAACTTTTTCACTCAAATTCGAATATTTTGAAATAAGTTCGGCGCATTGCCGCTGCTGTTCGCGGACCGCTACATCGTATGCACTTTCACCCTGCACATTGTAAGCGTGAACATTAGCTGCACTTTCTAACAACAGTGTAACCATAGCCTCGTTTCCTGATCGCGCTGCATAATGTAATGCTGTCTCACCGTCGTGGTCTCCTGAGTTCAAGACAGAGTCCCCACCAACATCCAGAAAGTATGCCACACATTCCAAATTTCCATTTGCTACCGCACAATGCAATGGAGTACGACCCAATTCCTCTACGACACAAATATCAGCACCATGGTGGAGCAACAGTTGCAAGCACGCTAAGTCCCCGTGGCGTGCAGCTACGTGTAGTGGCGCGTCGTTGTTAGAATCGATGTGATTTACGATCTCCGAGTCCATGTCACTTTTTGCAGCTGTCGAAAGAAGGAGTCCGACGCAGTGAGCTTGTGAAGAGTTCACTGCGACTTGTAAAGCTGTTTCCCCAAACTCTGGGTGAGGGTCATTTCGTGCTCTCCGTGACAGACACAGCTCCACCAGCTCAGCATCTCCTCTTCGACAGGCCAGTATTAACAACGTATCGCCGGTCCCACCTTCAAGCAGGTCAATAGGACACCCATCTTCTAGACATTCCAAAATTTCGTCGAGTCGGTCATTGCGAGCAAGGTCAAAAATTCGATTTCTCCAACCTGCTAACATGCGCTTATTTGTAGGTGCAGCAATCAATTTGCCACTTACGTTACCGTCTCGTCCTTTAGATATGATTGCAGATTTTTTGAAGCCTTCGATCGTGCGCGCTGACGCTAAGCTAGCATCGTTCGATGAACCGGATGCGGATATAAGCTCACGAAGACTAGAAATCCAAATTCGTGCTTCCTCTTTGCTGGCGGCCACTAAATCAAGCGTTCTGGCTTGCATCATCAGTGAAAAACATTTTTCTTCTTCTTTCGCCACACTGCTTTCAGATTGAGCTGTGAAAGCGGCAGTTTTGTGACCTTCACAAATTTCTGTCACCAGAGCTAAATCTAGAGAGCGCAGATTTTTTCTTGCGGTAACCCCTGACAGCGTTGGGTCTCCCCAGGTTATTTGTATGTGTGGTGGGTCCATAGCTCTTCTCACAGCAACCCATTGACGACGGGGTTCAATATGACGACCAATGATGCTGCGTGTGTGATAAGGAATTTTATAAAAGAGGCTCCCATTTAGAAGAACGGCAGGTATTGACTTTGCGCTTATTATACTTGACCGGCTGATCTGCTGATTCGATATATTAGATAATTGCAAAATAGGAATCCCTGCAGTGGGCATCGACAGCGTGTTTAAAATTTTCAGCTGAAGATGAACTTTTCCAGCAGCAACAAGTCCTAAGTCACCTTTGCTATCTTTAATTTCGTCATTCCGAAACAAAAAGTAATGTTGGTCATAAAAAAGTTCTCCCACATTGACCAAAGATATATTTGTTTCGCCCACCAAGATTTTGTTATCAGTTTTCACTCTCACATGAAGAAGCTGCGCGTCTTTCGAGTGCAAGGGTGTGCTAAATTGTTGATTCCATTGAGCCTCGCTGCCACATTTTTTGTGTAACTCCGTTCGCAGCAAGTTTGAAGTCCAACTGGAAGGAGAAGTACTGCCATGCATAGCTGAGCTGTCAAACATCATCATTTCGAGATAACAAGACTGTGTTCCGAATTTTTCAACTTTCGGGAGCCCAGTTGCTCCAAGCACATGAACTATCAGTAGAAATTGATCCCGGTCGGTATCTTTTTTCTCAGCGACAGGAATTTCTACAAGAATAGGGCTTGTCTTTTTGATCGAAACTCCCGAAGATGCTGGAGCCACAAATGCGCCATGATCAAGACCGATAACAGGATTAAGCGTTGCAAATCCAGGTTCGCTATCACCGGAGTGAATAACCACTTCTGAGATAATCTCATCTTCTGCAGCAAGAGGTCGATGCTCACGTACTGCTTGACCACTTATGAGTGTAGAGCCGTCAATAGACACTGAAATGTCATCCTCCTCTTCAGATGACACACTATTTTCCTCCAAATGTTGTTTTTGATCCTTCAATGAAGAAGGACCAATTGATTCAATCTCATCTTCCCCGTTTGTCTTTTCAGACAGGTTTGTATTCTCCATATCTTCAGCTGCAATAATTTCCGAAATGTCGGAAGGAGCGTATTTTCGCTTAGTCGATGCATTAAAAGTACCTCCAGTTATTCGAGTAAAAAAATTAGTACGTTGAGGCTTGTAGATGGACTTGATAACAATCTGACTATTATTCAACTCGCCATCATCGAAGTCCGTGGAAAGCTCCAAAAACCGATTTTTGGAGCGAGACTTCGCATTCTCTTGAACTTGTTTCACCTTAATAGGCTGAGGAGCTTCCTCTGAAAACATGATCTTTTCCTCAATTTTCCTTTGATCCCTGCTGTGAGCATCATTTTCCTCCTTTGGCTCATATAATTTCATTTTTTGTAAATAGTTAGCATCCTTTGTGTTGCTCACTTCACTAGTCGACGCATTCGCCGTATAAATGAGTTCGTCAAGCCTGAGCTTTTCATCATCATCTTTGATCATGTGGTAGAGCACCTCAAGGCTGACGGATAGCGGTTGGCTCGTTAAAACCACGAAATCAAGACTACTGTACCTTTATCCACAAATAGCCAAATGTTCATCGCATAACGGGATAATGCGTGCCACCAATTCTTAGCGTTTTCAATCTGAGTAATGGAGCAAATAGTACGGTTATATTTTTAAATGCCTTCTCGATTATCTATGTAAAAGAACCTAACCATTCCCTCCAATGGTGCAACTTTTCATGTCGATCGTTAGAAAACAACGACGATCGTGTATTTTATCGATCGAAAAAAAAAAATTGTACAGTCGTAATGCCTCTTACTTCATCAACTTTTTAAATTCGTCGTACAGCACCAGGACAATAGCACCACCCGTACCACGCAGAACATTGGAGCCGGCACCCTTGAAGAATGCGCCCGATCCCTCATTTTTGGCAATCTTCGTTGCACAATCAAGAGTTGACGTGTACAAGATGTCTTTGCGGCCAGCCTGCATCATCATGCGACGTCGCACAGTGTCGAAGGGGTATGAAATAATACCAGCCATTGTAGTCACAAGCTGGGCCACCATCCACTTTTGCCACATGGGAGCGTTCTTAGGGTCACGCAGAGCAATATCACGCAATGTGTCGTAACCACCGAAGAAAGCAGCACGGTACACGATGATACCACCAACCGACACGCCAAATCCCTGATAGAGACCGCTAATGCCATCGGATTTGTAAATTGTGGAGACACAGTTTACCAAGCCGGTGTACATGCGCGACTTACCCTTGCCGACATCAGCACCAAGACGAGTACGAGCAAAGTCAAGAGGGTACACAAAGAGCAGCGAGGTAGCACCAGCAGCACCACCCGATGCAAGGTTGCCTAGGAAGAAGCGCCAGAATTGGTCTTTAGTAACGCCATCCATGAACAACTTCTTAAACTTGTCTTTAAAGGCAAAGTTCAAAGCCTGAGTCGGGAAATAACGGATGACGTTCGCAAGATTACCACGCCATAGCGATCCAACACCCTGTTCCTTAGAAACGCGCACAAAGCAATCCACGATGCCCTTGTACTGGTCTTCGGGCTTAATCTGAGACGACGCGGCCTGCACCTGCAAAAGCAGTTTGACACGTTCGATAGGGGCTACAACCGTCTTGGAGATACCACCAGCAACTCCACCGGCAGCCAGGTCCATAAGGAAAGACATCACGCCTCCTTTTTTATCAGAGGTCGCGACGGGCTTGTACTGAGTAAGAACGCTCATTTTACAGATATTTATGTCCTGGCGCTTGGGCAAAACGGAGAAAAATCTCTAATGACACAAACACGTGGCAGTCTGCGGGGGCCTCTGCTCCGCCACACACTTCACAAGTTAGATGCCAGCTAGGCGGTGAGTTCTTATTGGCAGAAACAAAGCAAGTATACGTATTTCAGATTATTGGTCTCACACTGCTAAGAGTTGAATAAAGTACCAGATACTCACACTAACTTTTGCATAATAATAGAAAACTCATTCTAACAGGCTACATATTTTATAAATACTGATTGCTTTAAATAGCTGCCAGTATCTATACTTGACACCTGCCGGCTGAGCGCTAAAGTTGGCACAAGCGGTTATACGTCTTACGACAAGCTCAGCATATATTCAATGGCAACTCCATTTCAATTCATGTGAATATTATTGACGTGAATTTAGAATTTGATTGTGCTGACTAGTGCGCAGAAGCGGTACATGTACACTAATACAGTATGTAGGCAAAAATTATGCTTCGACATTTGCGCAAATAAATCCTTAAGGCTTGCTCGCAAACTAATTACATTCATCTTAATGTACTAAGGTGATGGAACCTCAAAGTAAGACAACAGATAACGCTATAAATTGGGTATCACGAAATCAACCGACAGTTGGGTCATTCTCGAGTTAGAGGCGGCACACAATAGCAAGCACAAGCTAAAACCACGCAAAATTTAGCAACACATCTGATTATAATGGTCAGCATCATCTGGGCCTTGCTGGAGAATCCGAGACCTCTCTAGCCCTAAGCGAGAATCATACGTGTGCATGGGAAGATGCTGCATTATTGCTTAGCTCATAACCTGCAAGGCTAATTAATTGTATCAAGTCTCACTCTAACAAGATTACTGGCAGCAAACGGGGAGTTGGATTCCGAGCTGGCGAGTAGAATCCATTAATGGTAATACTACAAGTGCAATCAATGGTACAACGAAAAGCTCTCCGAGTTCGCTTCTGGTACCCCAAGAAATCCTAATGGATAGGTACTGCGCTCGCGCTCGATTTCCTGTACCAGCAATGCGGACTATTCCTGTGGTACTCACCCCTGGCGAAATCGTTGCAGGTAATGAGCTCTTTGAGCGATGGGTACAGCGGCACCGGGCACTTTCCTCGCTGTCTACCATATAGCAAAGCCACAAGGAAGTGGACGTTCGCGTATAACGCCATTTCCGATTTGAGATTGCCAAACTCAAGGCACATCGCCGTCTTCCTAGGAATTGTCGCCCTGCGACACATTAAATCAATCATTACGCTCCCGCGAGCTATGTGATCTCTGACAGGGGTGAGTCTACAACCGCAGTAGCTCCGGGCTATAGCTTAAGCTTAGCTAATGGCCCTCGGCTTTCCGGGCTACTACCGAGAAGCGCGGGACGCACAACGGTGCGAGGCGTGATGATCCTTCTGATGATACGATCCTACGACGTCTGAGTAGTCTTGCCGAAGTGGCACCTCAAACTCCCACCGATTCTCGGAGTTTGAGTGTCCCCGCCACTTCACAAGACACTTATTTTGACCCTGTCGACGACGTCGACCCACAAGGCGTTCCACGTGGCAGTGGAAGCCACCGTTCTCGTCGAGAAGAGTCGGCGTTGGACGATGACGACTTGGTCGATCACCGTCTGGTAACTCACGATGCTCTTCTAGCTCTTGAGGACAAAGACCGTCGCCATCGGCGCTCCGCTGAGCATCTTGTCGATATCGCATACCGCTGTGCGGAAGACGGCGAGAGCCTGAAGTACTTTGTGCACCGACTGCCTCACGTCAAGGATTATCGGGCTCTGACGGACCGGGTCCTAGCCGTCGAGCAGACGAATGCGTCACTTTGTGCGACGGTGGATCGCCTGGCGCCGTTGGAAACAGAAAGCGTTGCACCCCGTGCTCAAAAACAGGAGCTGCTTCAGCTTCTGGGTGGTCGAGCGCCCACGCTTCCGCGTTCACTTACGCCGGATCTCGGTACGGCATAAGCAAGCCCAAATAAAAAACTGGGTTAGTGCGCATCCTTATCGGTAGGTTTAGCGTATACGCAAGGCCTCACTTGGCCACGACCTTAAAGGCCAGGTAAACCTTAGACGGAGTTTTGTCTTGATGGAAGCAGAGACTGCATGTGCAGAAAGGTATTTAGTTTTTAATAAATCCAGGTCTCCGATTCTAAAGTTTACAACATTTTTCCTGCTTCTTCCGTCCGATATTCTTTCTGCATGTCGTGGCTTTCAGCCATCGCATCGCATAACATGTCGTAAGACACTCAGTCTGGTAGACAGGAAGTCATCGACTTTCTTACGCACAGTGAGGGGCTGACATCAGCTAGCCGTTCGGCTATTTCTCCCCCACCAAGCCCTGAGCCATAGGATGGCGGCGTCAGCGGAAGGTGAGGACTAACAAGCCCCTTAACGACAAACCGCGTGTAGACGGTAGATGAATGCACTACATTGTTCAGAGCAAAATCTACGAGTGGCAGCATGGCGATTCAGTGCTTCGGCGTCTCAGCGAAGACGCTGCGAGAAACGTCTTAAACGACGCAAGTACGCGCTCAGTTTGACCACCGGTCTGCAGATGGTTCGCTGTTGACATAGTCAACTTGGTGCCCAGCACCGTGAAGATTGTATACCAGAACTTCTTAGTGAAGCGCTGATTTCTATCAGATACAATTCACTCCGGGAGTCCATTCTGTCGAAAGACACGATTGACAAACATCGTCGCTGTACCTACACCGTCGATGGTGTCCGGCACTGCCGCAAGATGAGACATTTTGCCCAAACGGCCCACAAAGACCACCACACCCGTGTTGCCCGTCGAGTCCTTGGTAGGTCAAACACAAAGTCCATACTCATGGGCTGCCAACACCCGAAGGGTGCCGGCAAATCGGTCAGCGCTGCCGTACTCGGAGAGTGTTTCACCCTCTAAGACGTCTTAAATGTGCGCACATATGTACTCGTCCATTTGTACAGCTTGGATCACCAGTAGTAATGCTATACGTCTATACGTCTTCTCACGACCGAGATGACCACTGAGTGGGGTGTCATGGGCCTCATAGAGAATACGGTGCATCAAATCCTGATCGTGAGGAATCACAATTCGTGGCATATCCGTTGAGTCGGTTCTATGATACAGCAGCGCGTTATTCGACGAATACTGGTGCAACCGTGCGCGCAGTCGCGACGACAACTTCTTGTCCGAGTTTACAAACTCCTTGCTTCCGAAAGTCCGTGGTAGCACTACACACATATCATCACCCGCGTATGCGGCGCGGATTTAATCTGTCCCTGACGACGTCACCGTCGTGACATGAGCAAGCTCATAATCCGGTCTGTGCGGTAACGCATCAGTCAAAGCATCCTGCTTTCCTGGCTCATATTTCACCCCCAAGTTATATTTTGCATAGAATGAGAGCCACCTGGCCATCCTCTGCGAGAGGCGACTGAGTCGCAAGCGTAATGACACATAATCTGTCAAGACAACAAACGGCTTTGAGCCAAGCAGGTGCACCCTGAACTTGACAAGGGCATACTTCATCGCAAGTAATTCTTGTTGTGGATTGAAAAGTTCCTCTCCGCAGCCATAAGCTGGCGAGATTCGAACGCGATACCCTATCCCGCCCCTCGGCGTCTGCTTGCAGCAGTGTACAGCCGAGGGCAAAGTCCGAAGTGTCACAGACGACGCTTAAAAGACGATCGGGGTCTGGCGAGGCCAGTTTTTGTGCATGAAGGAGGCTGGGTTTGACCCTGTCACAAGCCTCCCGATGCTCAATGTCCCAACACCATTCCGTATCCTTCATAAAGAAACTCAAAAATGGTCGTGTCATTTCCGTATAATCTGCGCTATACTTGTGCAAGTATTTGCGAGGCGAAGCCACTTGCGCAAAGCCTTTTTGTTCTTTGGAACCGGCCAGTCTACAATGGCCTTGACCTTAGCGGGATCCGCTCGAGGGCCACGCTTCCCAATAAAGCACCCTAAAAGCGAAATCTTTTCTGCGCCAAAGATACGCTTGTCTGCATTGGCGAATAGTTTGTTCGTGTGCATACACTCGAGCGCCGCTCTTAAATGGGCGATATGGTTCTCCTCATCCGTCCTCCCGTGCTCCGCACGACTGTGAACGAAAATGTCGTCAAAGTATGTCTGTGAATACGCCCTGTGGAACCTGAACAACTGTCACAAGACGAATAAATGTTGCTGGTGCATTTGACAGCCCTTGGGCCATCACCAGCCACTCCCAGAGCATGCCGCTCGGAATGCTCACCGCTGTCAGCGGAATATCACTCGCTCTCATGAGCAAT